TTTCTTATTTTCTTTTATAGAATACCGCAAGCACAAGAAATTATCTTTTTGTGGTGGAGAGATTTGCAATGACCATGCATTTATTCCTCCAAAAATATCTGAAAACTGTAGAAATCAATCAGTTTGTATTGAACTAAAACTTAAACAGGGAGTTTTTCCTCCAACTGAAAGTCAACTCACGTACTGTGCTTTCTGTTGTAAACAAGAACTTAAGGTGAAGAATATTCTTTTCATTTGATGAAGGATTAAAAATTATGGTTTTGAAGTGCATCACTAAAACTTGACAGAATTCCATTGTTGCAGTTGAAAGATGGTAGTGCCTCAAAGAGAAGCAAATATTGTCCCCTGGATGTGTTTTCTGGGTATGGTATTTTCAGACTAATTATTGTTTTGAGTATGGCATAGGTAACAACCTTGTATTAAATGTGAGAGGGCTTTCTTGTCCTCGCGGTAGGTCCCTGGCAAGAATAAAACATGCAGTAAAGTCACTTCTCCAGACTCCTCAAAACAATTTAAGGATCTTTTGTGTATGTTTCATTTGGAATTCTTATTTTTAATTTCTCACATCATCTTTCAATGACGCTCATTAAATGGTAAACCTCTGCTCTTTCTTGATTCAGGATGGTAATCTTGCTTATGGTGATGGATATTCAGTTGAGGATTTACAGTTAGTTCTCTCTCAATGGATGCATAGTACTCCTGGGTAATTTAATTTTTTTTTTACAATTTCCTGCATGTAAGAATTTTTTTAAGTACTGAGTCAAACCTGAAAATGTTTTAAAACAGATCAGATCTTGTTGAAAGATTTACCTGTTTGCTGGTACAAGCTTTGACCATGCAAGTTGGACATGAATGTGAGGGAAGTACAAATTCTTCTTGGTTGTATAATGGGGCTCCTCTCTTTGATACAAGGTAAAAATAATTATCAAGCAGAAGTTTGTGGAACTTATTAAGATGTTTATTTGTTAAATATCTGTATTTGTTCAGAAAAAGCGTACATCATGATAATCTCAAAGAGGAATTTCCTAGAACCAACCAGAAACCTTGTAATTTTGAAAAGCAAAATTTACCTGAGGTACGTTTTTGCTTCACTGTCTCTTCCTCCATAGTTATTTTTTTATCTATAACTGAATTCTTTGTCAGGGCTGCATTCTACATCGATTAGCTCAAGCACAAGCTTTAGACCAGTATGGCGTTAATCTTGTCTTTAATATGCTAATGAGTGATGAAGACCTTGTAAGGGCTACAGAGAATGCAAGTGCCACCTATGACACACAGTATGTCCATAGCATTATCAAGAGAGGATGTAGTTATGAGCTGAACCCGATTGAATCCTACCTTATCTCTGCAACTGTAAGAGACTGCTCTGTACTCATTTGCCTTCAAGAATTGTAAGTACACATAATCCTTTCATAATAACGAAGCTCATTTGAGCAAGCCCATTATTTAATAATCTTATTATT